CTTTCCCTCTCTCTCTGTCCCAATCTGGCCAAATTTCAAAAAAGAAAAAGAATAAGGCAAGCAATAGTAAATAAATAATTCTAAAAGAATTTTTAAATAAATATACATATTTTATGCAACAGTCTAGCAGCTCTCATTGATACCTGAAATAACTCAAATTCATTAATGAGTAAGAACTTTTTGAATTTGCTTGCAGAAAACATATGAGTAAAAGAAAACTTGAAAAACACTGCTACTTGCTTTGTAATTGCTTAGTGAATCCTAATAAAAAACAGACAGTTCAGTGCTAATGAGCTCAAAATGCGTGTTGTCGTTTTCATTCTAGGAAAAAAAAAAAAAAAAGAATCACACAAATATTTTCCTTGAAAGAAAATAGCTTCTTAATTAATATATTAGCAGTAAGGACAGACCAATTATAAACAGTACTTTTTAAGACAGAAAATTGAAATAGCATTTAAATGGCCCTGTACCACAAAAAGACATTGAAACATCATCTGTGATTAGAAAATATGTATGTGTCCATTAATTTGTACAAAAAAATACAGGAAAATGAACCAGAAAATAATGAGGAGGGGGAAAGGAATTGGGGTTGAAAGAATGGGAGAATGAAGGGGACCAGCAGTTAGCGTAATGCTATGTTGCTGAACTCCCATGTAGTCAACCGCGGTTCGAGTCCCAGACCCAGTGGCTTAAACTCACGCTGGGCGCATGTGCATGTATGTCCAAGATCCCGAGAGAAGACTGGAGGAGAAGGGATTGCAGTATGGCCATCCCTCCTGGGGGGTGATTTCTCGTTTTCTATCTCTCTGTCTCTCTCTGTCTTTCTGGTGAGCGCACACGCCCTTAGCAAAAACCTCTTCAAAAAAAAAAAAAAAGAATGGGAGAATGAAAAGTGACAGTAAGGATGAGGGTAGAGTGACAGCTTTCTGAGTCTGCCTTTTCTTTTGGTTTTGACTCTCAGAACCATGGCAATGTTTCATATATCCGCCACATAAATAATAATTAAAATTATCCTCTATGTGTTGGGGGAACCCAAAATTTTAGCAGCAGTGGTAACAAATGAACCCAGTTGGGCCAGCAGGTGGCAAGGACTTTAAAGCACCTAGATCCCACATGACTGACTGAGTGGTTCAAGTCTCGGGCCCAGAGGCTTTGAAAAGATGTGGTCATATGTCCCCAAAATCCAGAGAGAATAGAAGAGAAGGGATAGTAGCATGGCTAACTCCCCTGGGGCAATGATTTCTTACTTTCTCTTCCTCTGTCTTTCGTACATGTCTTTCTCCAAAACAAGCAAATGCACCCTATAGCGAAACTTATACACACACACATACACACACACACGAAGACAAAGAAAAAAATAAATGATCTAGTATTACAAATTAATTAAATAGTCGCAACGGAAGACTGAGGGAAGCAATCTAACCTGAGTTATTTTAGAAAACAGTATTTTCACTATATACTATAAGTTTAAAGACAAAAAGTACTGCACCAAAACCCGACATAATCTAGTTAGTAAATTTGTTTCTCACAGGGATTATGGGGTTGAAAAAAAAAAAAGAATGGGAGAATGAAAAGTGACAGTAAGGATGAGGGTAGAGTGACAGCTTTCTGAGTCTGCCTTTTCTTTTGGTTTTGACTCTCAGAACCATGGCAATGTTTCATATATCCGCCACATAAATAATAATTAAAATTATCCTCTATGTGTTGGGGGAACCCAAAATTTTAGCAGCAGTGGTAACAAATGAACCCAGTTGGGCCAGCAGGTGACAAGGACTTTAAAGCACCTAGATCCCACATGACTGACTGAGTGGTTCAAGTCTCGGGCCCAGAGGCTTTGAAAAGATGTGGTCATATGTCCCCAAAATCCAGAGAGAATAGAAGAGAAGGGATAGTAGCATGGCTAACTCCCCTGGGGCAATGATTTCTTACTTTCTCTTCCTCTGTCTTTCGTACATGTCTTTCTCCAAAACAAGCAAATGCACCCTATAGCGAAACTTATACACACACACATACACACACACACGAAGACAAAGAAAAAAATAAATGATCTAGTATTACAAATTAATTAAATAGTCGCAACGGAAGACTGAGGGAAGCAATCTAACCTGAGTTATTTTAGAAAACAGTATTTTCACTATATACTATAAGTTTAAAGACAAAAAGTACTGCACCAAAACCCGACATAATCTAGTTAGTAAATTTGTTTCTCACAGGGATTATGGGGTTGTAATTCTGAAACTTCTTTACAAGTATACTTGGGTTGAATAAACACTATATTGTAGATAATGAAAGCTAGGTTTCTCTTTATTAAAAAAAAAAGGGTCACAAATAAAAAAGGGAGAAATTTACATGGAAACTAGTGGTATTAAGTTAGAATTGGAAGAATCAAGATGAATTTATGGTTTTAAAAAGTACATAAATATTTGTAGAGATACGTGTTCCTGTGTGTGTGTGTGTGTATATATTTATATATTTTCCTATATTCCTCAGCTCTTTCAGCTGAGAGAGTCTAGAAGCAATCACATACCAGTAACAATGAGCACACCCACCACCAGATTTTGTTTCTAAATCTCAATCTCTAATAAAAAGAACTAGAGCTCTCTGGAGAAATGACTGATGCTAGCCTGGTGCAAACAGTGGAGAAATCTGGTAGATGCCACATTATGTAAGTGACCTAAAGTCACAGAGCTAATGTTAAACTAAACTATTTTGGCCTAAAACGGCCACTACACTCCCACACTTGGATTCCTATGGATAACTCAAAATCATACATGTTAGGCTGTTTTCCTGAGCGGGTTGCTAAGTTACAGCCAATCACACCAGCCACACTAGTCAACCGCAGAAAGCCCAGCTTTTAAGTTGTTCGGGAGACCTACCATTCAGCTGAAACCAATTCAATGATTTCTCCACCTCACTTCCTCACTTTGATTTTGTGTGTCATTTTCCCTTTCCTACACATGTCAATTCCCCTTTGTGTGAACTTATATATTCGTGACCACACAGCTAGCCAGAGTCCCTTGGATCCCATGTTCCAGGGGACTGCCTGATTTGAATCACCTGCCCTTTGTTTAAATAAATTGTTAAATTTGCATTTCTCTAAAAAAATTTTGTAACACTAGCAATTAAACATACTGACATCATGTACCCCTGATAATAATACACAGAGGAGGGCACAATATCACTTTGGCGGTATTCTTTCCAAAAACACAGAAGTCAATGTTTATCATAAGAAAAAGTGAGACATTTTAAAAAATTATTGACCAGAACTCTTCAAAAGGATAAAGGTCATTAAAAAAAATAAAATAAAGACACGCTGAGACTAAGGAGACATGACAATTAAATCTTTGTAGGGTCATGAATTGGATCATGTACTTGAAAAGGGACAATAGGGACCAGCAGATGTGTAAAGGTTATGTTCACTGGACTCCCATGTAGTCAACTGCAGTCAAGTCCCAGACTCAGCAGCTTAAAACTCACGCCAGGCACGTGTGAGAGCATGCCCAAAAAATCCCAAGGGAAAATGTAGGAGAAGGGATTTCAGCATGGCTGTCTCTGTCTCTCTCCATCTCTTTGGCGAGAACATGTGCCCTATACAAAAATCTCTCAAAAAAAGAAAAAAGAGGGACCAGCAGTTAGCATAATGGCTATGTTGCTGGACTCCCATGTAGTCGACCGCAGTTCAAGTCCTGGACCCGGTGGCTTAAACTCATGCCGGGCGCATGCGGGTGCATGCCCCATATCCCGAGAGGAGAATAGAGGAGAAGGAATTGCAGCATGGCCATCCCTCCTGGAGGGTGATTTCTTGCTTTCTGTCTCTGTCTGTCTCTGTCTTTCTGGTGAGTGCATGTGCCCTATAGCAAAAACCTCTCAAAAAAAAAAAAAAAAAAAAAAAAGAAAGATACTATTGAGTCATCAGAGAAGTCATGACAAATTGAAGGAAGGAAGGAAGAAAGAAAAAAGAAAGATACTATTGAGCATCAGAGAAGTCATGACAAATTTTTGCATAAAAAAAAACCCAGGAAAATACATCATGACTTTTCTAATGACATATTCAATGAAAAGTACACAGCTTTATGATGTAACTGGTGATTTATTACATTTTAATATTTGAACTGCCATTATATTGTGCGTCTGGCCTATGTTATAGTGTGTAGAAAGATTTGGCTGGAATCAACCTGTAAAATTAAGTTTCACATTTGTTGTAAAACTGTAGAGAGAAGACTATGTTAATCATCATAAGGGGCACTTTACATTAGGAGGAGGCAGTATGATTCAGTAATTTTTTAAAAAAAAAGGTTTTCACCTCAGGGCATGTGCAGTCATTGGAGAGAGACAGAGACAGTGAAAGGGAAAGTGAGAAATCACCACCTCGGGGAATGGCAATGCCACAATCCCTTCTTCTTCCAGGATCTTGGGCATGCATACACATGCACCCAGCATGATTTTCAAGTCACTAGGTCCGGGAGTCAAATCTCGGTTAGTTGGATGAGAGTTCAGTGACATAACCACTACACTATCTGACTTAGTAATTTTAAAGAGAATCTAGGGCCAGCCTCATAGTGGTTAAGGAAGCTGGATATAACATGGCCAACCGTGGTTCAAATCCCAGCCACAGTGATTTGCAAAACAAGCTGGGCATATGTGCTTGTGTGCCCCAAATCCTGACAAGATAGAGAAATAGAGGAGCAGGGACTACAGCATGACCATGCCCCATT